TTGGGGGGGGGGGAGACCGGCCGCTCTCGCACTCCAGCTGTGACATAGTCTGCTCTCATTGAACGATACGCATGTCACGTGTTATTGCCACGTGCTGGTTGCCTCTATGTACATGGACCTGTTTGTTGGCGGCGCTCCATGGTGCTGGCGGGATATAACGGAGCGATCACAGACATGATACTGGAAGCTCCTGGCGGACATCCTGGTTCCGTCTCCTGGCGTGTGTGTGCTTTCCTCCTCCTCCTCCACTTCCAGACTGTTTGTTTTATTCTCTTTGTATTCTCTTTCCCAGGAGTAACCTGTACAGTGTGCCCGAGATCTGCAGAACTACAGCACACACCCCACCTGTACAGTGTGCCGCGTGCCTGAGATCTGCAGAACTACAGCACACACCCCACCTGTACAGTGTGCCGCGTGCCTGAGATCTGCAGAACTACAGCACACACCCCACCTGTACAGTGTGCCACGTGCCTGAGATCTGCAGAACTACAGCACACACCCCACCTGTACAACCGTCATCTGGTATGGTGGGATGAGTGAGCCTGAGATCTGCAAAACTACAGCACACACCCCACCTGTACAACCGTCATCTGGTATGGTGGGATGAGTGAGCCCGAGGTCTGCAGAACTACAGCACTCACACCACCTGTACAACCGTCATCTGGTATGCTGGGATGAGTGAGCCCGAGTTCTGCAGAACTACAGCACACACCCCACCTGTACAGCTGTCATCTGGTATGGTGGGATGAGTGAGCCTGAGATCTGCAGAACTACAGCACACACCCCACCTGTACAACTGTCATCTGGTATGGTGGGGCGAGTGACCCTGAGATCTGCAGAACTACAGCACACACCCCACCTGTACAACCGTCATCTGGTATGGTGGGATGAGTGAGCCTGAGATCTGCAGAACTACAGCACACACCCCACCTGTACAACTGTCATCTGGTATGGTGGGGCGAGTGACCCTGAGATCTGCAGAACTACAGCACACACCCCACCTGTACAACCGTCATCTGGTATGGTGGGGCGAGTGACCCTGAGATCTGCAGAACTACAGCACACACCCCACCTGTACAACCGTCATCTGGTATGGTGGGATGAGTGAGCCTGAGATCTGCAGAACTACAGCACACACCCCACCTGTACAGAGGTGGGATGATCAATCTGTAGCCCATCAACCCTGTAGGACTTCCAGGCGGGGAGCACACACCGTGTACATCACATGTCCTTGTACATAAGGACTACATGTCCCATCATGCTCTGTACGCATGCATGGCACCTTTCTGCTTCTAACCGGTCCGCTGCCTGTTGGTGTCAATGCCTGGAGCCCCGGCATGTAGGGATGTAGTCCCAGCCAGGAGCGCACACGTAAGAGTGGCTACGCTGAGGCTCCAGGGGGTCTCCACAAGGAAGCGTAGCCACCCTATAGACAGAAATGGGTGGGGTGATGAATGCGGAGTTTGGGGGG